CAGAAATGTTTACAAATTTAAGATATAATCTCTTCTATATAATTAAAATATTGCATATAAATACTATTTTTTAAAGTGTATATTTTTACGTATTGAAAACTTAAGCCAATTTCAAGAATGTTATAGCAAGCTTTCATATTTCATTCTTGATTATTTATAGCAAACATCTTTAATTATATTTAATCTTTAGCAGCAACCATACATTTTTATTTGACCTATATAATAACATTTGATAAAGTCCATATATAGTATATCAATGGTAATAAAATGTTACTTTCACAAGACTTTCCTTTTATATTGCTATGAAATGCTTGCAGTATGTGAAATGGACTGTTACAGGCTTGTGTATTATTATCACGCTCAAACTAAGAAGGTAATTTTTTCAGCGTCATTTCTCACAGTTATGCATCCAATCTAGTTATATCATAATGATTTATGTTGACTGACATCTAATCTACCCTATCATTTCAAAATGAATTCTACTAGATTTGGGGCAGTTTACTTTCAAATAAACATACATAGGAATCTAGCACTAACATACTTCTCCGTGGACTGACCGGCATCTCTACTCTATATGTGTTTAGATTATACCCTGCTGAGTTCAGTGGGACTTATTTCCAGGTGTTTAGGACCACAGTGCATAAATACAAATCACCTTATAGATAGACCACAATCTATACTGTGAATCTTGTAAATATTAAATTTGAAGGGGGGGGACAGTGAATGAACACAAAATATCACAAATATGAAACATTTGTAATTAACAAATATAATTAATTTGGAATATTTTTGCAATTTATAATACTTAAAATTAATAGAAAATGTTACAAGTACAGTATTGGTTTTAGAAATCTATATCACAGGCAATCAGAAACAATATGTATGTTTGACTCGCTGATGTTACAGTAGGCAAAACCACTGTGCATTTTAAAAACAGTATTTTGTTTTTTAAAAGTGAGAAATATTGGACAATTAATCAGCAAAAAGCAACTCAAAGGTTTCAAATGTTGTAATAAAAAATGCCAATTAACTTTCCAAATACAGTATATAAACACAACTGGATACTCTATCCGAAACAGTTTGTCAAAAGTTCCTGGAAATGAAACAGATTGAAGGCAATACATTTTCTGATAAATTAACAATTTAATTGAATAATTATAAATCTGAAATAATGTATTCAGCAGCAATGCCAATGATTTCAGTAGAAATTTTCTGAAAATGTTTGGATTTGCTATGCTTCAGTCTTGCATTCTATTGTATATACATTTAAAAAAAAAAGACCATACTTTTGGAACAATCTTATAGTACTGGGGCATGTGTCAGTTTACCAGGTACTGTGGTATCACAAAATAGAACTTTCCAAGGTTTTATAATCACTGCACAGTGTTTTAAAACATTGTAACTATATATGCTGCATTCTGAATGACTACATCTTTCCCAAAACACATATTCTGACTGAAAACCTGAGCTTCCTATATTTCCAATAGTATCCTAACAATGATTAAGCGAAGTATGATACTCCTTATCTAATAAATAACCAATTGAAAATGAAGTGTGCCTTGCTATGCAGCAGCAATCAGCTTTTATCTCTGTCCAATCAAGTTGACATCTGAACTGCCTAATCCTCCTTTTGTAAGGCACATAAGACTTTGTTGTCACTGTTGGTTTTGTGAATTGTCTATATAATCTGCTCTGATTTCCTAAAGATGACAGATCCTAACAAACAGCCCTGCTTTGCTGCACTGCAGTCAATGCAACAGTTGAGATTAAGGTACAGATGAAGATACTAAAATTTAATCACACCTGTCCACAACTACCATACTGCCTGACACCTCTCAGAAGATTAACTTAAACCAGTTCGGAACCATAAACCAATCATTATACTCTTAAAATAAAGAAATATGCTTGGAAATATACACTTACAACTTTTTCACTCTGTTAATCTACTCTATAGTTCATAGGCCTTCTTTATATATGTTATAAATGAAAAATTATAGCAACAGCTGTTTAACACAATTTAATATAGGTTTTAACACTATTGCACAGGGATGTGTATCTTTGCTAAATTTGATCTTTATGTCTCCATTTTGCCAAATACATAACATTTACAAGATGGAAGTAAGTAAAGAATATACATCAGACAAATACTTGAGATAAATGACATTTGCAGTAGAAATGATGAGTGGATTAGTTTTGTTTTCATTAATAGGACTTTTTTATGCTCCATATATAAAAATATCAGAATTTAAACTACCCCAATCTATGTTTGTTTGTTTTTAAAGTGACTAAGTGGCATAATTGAAAAGTTGGTCTATGTCCAACAGGTTTAAATCTTAACATTTTAAATGTAAGCATTCTTTCTGGTATTTAATATGAAAACATGATGGTCTGAAAACAATAAAAAATAAATAAAAAATCCTGGGATAGTCAGGGAAGGAAGTAAAAGTGCCATTGCCTAGTTTGTTAAACACTTAAAAATGACTGATCCATAGTTTCTTACTTTGAAGACAATATTGCTTACAAAATATTTAAAATCTAATCTTATGTTAAGAAATGTATTTTTCAGAGTTCTATAGATCTTAGTATCTATGTGATGTAAACTGTGGCTTTATTTTTCATCAGTATCATAAAGAGAACATATAAAAGTTAAGCAAGCTTGCAGTTCAGCCATGCTAACTGTTTAAAGTTTATTTCTATTTACTCACCCAATAATTGTGTATTTTATAATGTGAGACAAAAATAGTTTTATTCCCTTAAGTATGTATACTTAATTAAAGTATATAGTTTTTTGTATATTTGCATAATATTAATGAAGTCTGTTATTATCTTGGTATTAGATGACAAAAAAGTATATTTTAATTATTAATACTAGTAGTACATCATTATTTACAATTGTATTTTAAATAAATATCTTTCAATACAGTGTTTTATGATTACATTATTGCATATGTAAATTATTCTATAAAGGACAATTTAGACATGTAACTTTAAATAACGTAGTCTAATAATAGGTCATATAGTTTTTGTGCCATTTTACTGCGTCCTAATAGGGTATTACTCAGCTCCGAATCTGGAATATTCCACTATTACATTTCTAATTTATATGCAGTTATATATCACCTGTTACACAGATGTGACTTTAATAATTTAGCATACTTTAAAAGAAAATCTAAGGGAGTGTAATCAGCTGGCAGTCTACACTGTTCAAAGCACTGTTCGTAACAAACCCAAAGATACTTGTTTCTGATAATGAGCTTCATTTCATAAACCTTCTCTCATTTATATGACTGTCATGCAAGGAGTTCTCTGAAACTTAACTCATAAAATGGCTTGCATGTTTCAAAACTAATATTTGAACATAGAAGAGCAATTTATTCTGTATAAGAAGTAAAACAAAGTAAAACATATCTGTAATAATACTGACAGAACTTATCAAATCCTCACGATTTTAGGCAGTGTTCCTAATAGCACTAAATAATCTTTGTCACATTAAAATGAATGCAATAGCCATTTAAGAATAATAGGAATTGCCTTAACACTTTCTAAATACGTGAATTTTATTGCATATAACTTCTGACAGCATAAAAAATATAGTATTTTTATTATTTTGATACTGAGCTACAGCTTATCAAAGCTTGGTAATGAAAATCCATTAATCTTAAATGATGCTCCCAGCCTATCTGATACAATGCTGATATGTTAAAATCTTAAATTGAAAAAAAAAAATCAAATGAGACTGGTTTTACCTGAACACTGCTCTTTAAAACAGAATTATTAGTTCACAGGTACTCTGCCTCTGCTATGCCTTATAGCTTAGTATTATAATATTTCTTGTAGGTATCTATGTTATGCAATCATTAGTGAATGCAATTTAAAGTAATATAGACTTCAAATATACAGCTAGGACAATTGGCTCTTAGAACATATTTATATACTGTACTAAAACTATACAGGAACTGATACCATTTAAAGACAATTGCTTTTATAATTCACTAAAAGATATTTCTTCTCAAGCCAAGAATCTTTAGTCCACCTCTAAAGACTGGCAGATTGCCCTTGTGCTGCTTACTTATCCAACAGTAGCAGATAAAAAGTACATGCCATAAGTATCTTATTTAAAGTCCAATCTGTGCTACTTAAAGATGAGACTGCACAACATTTGCAAGTAATATCAATATTAAAGCACAAAGTTCTATTATTCTAAAATATTTTAATAAACAGAATTATTAAAAGCAATTTCTTCTAATTGCCAAGTCTGTTAGGAAGCCACTAGATCCTATGAAGAAACTATAACTACTTTATATTTTTACAATGAAAGAGTATTCTCTATAGACTTCCCTTGTTCTTTCATACTCATCTTCAGCCTGAAGTTTTAATTAATAGGGGAAAAAAAACCAGGCTGCCAAAGTGCAATGCAACCTCACTCAATTTACAGCTAAAGTTAGAAAGACTGCAAAAGTGGAACATTGCTTGCTTTTCCATTCAAATATTCTAATTTCCTCCATTTCATAAGAAAGCTTATAAAGGCAAACATGTGTTGGGAGAGATGCTGTGATGAAAACCCAAGCATGAAAAGAAAGTGATGTACTGCACACACATAGAAGTTTAAAAGGGCATTTGCTCTTATGCCAGGTTATTTCTTCACTGCACTGTTTGATAATTCATGGGGCAAGTACTCCAAGGTCATAAGCATTTGGTGAAATGTTAAAAGACAAACAACCCTATCTCACTTCACAATACCAAAATACACCAATGACGTGAACTAACTTCATGAAACTTTAAACACTCAAGCAGATGGAGGGAAAAGAGAAAGAAATCCTCAGCAACTTACCTAGGTGACTTAAGAGTGCCAACATTTCCTTAAAACCATCTACTGCTGGGTGACTCTACCATCCCCAGGACACCTGACTTTACTGCCATACATGTCACAGTGCCTATCATTAGACATTCAGCAGTGTCAACACAGCCTGACTTCTAAATGGAATTGCACGTGTACTTACATCGCAAACGTTTGGATGATCAGGCGAGTCCTTGAGAGATCTTTTTTCCTCTTCTTGAGAAACAAGAGAGAGAAAGAGAAGTGATTGAACAGAGTAGGGGGGGAGGAGGAGGAGAAGGAGGAGGAGGAAGAGGAGGAGAAGGAACGGGGGAAAAAGCTTTTAATTCTTCCAGCCTTGTAAGATGTTCCCCACCTGGTCCAACACGCAGCCTCGTTTAACCACACATGCACACGGGCGCGCGCGCGCAGACGACCGCGCGCGCATACACACACAACCTTGAAAATCAATCCAATGAACCGCCAGGAGCTCTGTGGTGGCGCTGGTGGCAGCGGCGGCGGCGGCGGCGGCGGTGTGTGTCCCTAAGCGTGCAGCAGGCGCAAGTGCCCGTGCTGCTGGTCGGATTAAAAGTAAGCGGACTCGTCCTGAGAGCGTCCAGGAAGGAAGTGACAGGAGGCGAATGGGGAAAGCACAGCTCACAGGCTTTGTAACATCACGGATCGCAGGAAGGAGGGGAGGGGGGAGAGAAGAGAGGCAGGGAAGGGAGGATTCAAAAACTCCACGCCCGGCGAGGCTTCTCTTCCTTCTGCCTTCCCTCCTCTCCTCCTCCTCTTTTTTTTTTTCCTCCCTCTTTTCTCTCTCTCTCCCACAATCCCAAACGAAGGACTCTCTCTTGCTGAGCTGGAGAAAGAATCAGTTTCACTCTTGAAAAAAGGGGGCGGGATCACATCCCGAACGCGTTTTAATAAAACAAACAGAGCGCAGAGAGCGACCAGCTCAGAGCAGAGCAGAGGCGGTGGCAAAGATCCCTCTCTCTCTCTCCCCCCACCCCGTCTTTCCCTCTCTCTTTCCGCCTTCCGTGCCCCTCTCTAGTCTCAACGAGATTGATAAATTACTCCACTACCCTACTTTAATTATGTATATGGTATGCAGAATAAATCACCCAACATCAGGCACCTCAATCAAGCACTTTTTAAATGATAATTGCATCTGGGCTGAATCAATCTTGCCATGCCTGACATTTTGCTAATTTTAGTTTTTTACCGCCGGGGGTGGGGAGGGGGGGGGCAGAGCGAAGGGAGGGCTGGTTAGCGGTTTAGGAGAATTGGCGAAACGACATATGCCTTGGAGCAACCCTAATGACAATCCGGTATTATTACACGCACTCATAGCGATCGCGGCAATAAGGCGGGGAATCACATCGCTCTCTCTCCCCTTCCCACCCCCCTCTCTCCATGGGAGAGACGGTGGGAGCCTTTTAAAAAAATTGGGCCGGGGGAGAGAGGGCGAGGTTGCTGCCGGAACCAGGCTAAGTAGGTCTTCTTGACCAGAAACCCAAGGCGGGGAGAGAGGGGAGGGGGGATTGGTTAGGAGAAAGGGAGCCCGCGTTCCTCCAGCGGCGACCTTTTCAGAAAGGCTCTTCAGATGCTCGCCGGAGTTCAGGGCGAAGAAGGGCTTTTACTCAAGCCTTGGTCATTTTGGGCAACTCGTTTTCCGCGAGCCCCATTGTTTTTTTCCGCTTCAGCTCAACGTAGTCGCGAAGTCTACGGACCGATCTGAAAGCGGCGTTGCGAAAGCCGAGCGGCGCGGTCCGTTCGGGACGGCCTGCGAGCCAACTCCTCCGGCAGAAGCGGACTGGGGGGCGGGGGAGGGGGGTGGGGGAGGGGGAAATGGGGAGCCTGCGCCGTTGTCGGCGGGGAAACGGACGAAGGAATCCTTCGACTTCCACCAGGGAGGTTGGGTCAGCGCTATCGGGCTAACTTTCGAGACACTTTGGAAACATCTCCCCACCCCTCGGAATCTGACAGCGATGAGCTGCAAGACAAGCAGCGGGTGCGGCTCCCCCTCTTTTTTTTTTTTTTTTTAATCACGGCCGTTGACATTTCCTTTCTCCTCCCTTTTTGCCTCCATCTCTTTTCTGCACCTTCCTTAAGGCTTTGGGTCTGCAAACCGGCTCCTTTTTTAGTTCTCGTCCGGCTTCCGCCTCGAAGCGCGAGGCTGTCAGCTCTCATTCCGAGGCTAAACTTTTGAAAGCGAGGATGGAGAGAAGAAAGTCAGATAAAGGCAGCTGCCCAGTTCGGCAAGGACACAGTAGCACTCTAGCTAAAATTACCGACCCTTTCTTTTTCCTGCCTGATTCCTGACTTTTAGGCGCTCTTTGGCGCGGGTATGCTTTTGCTAGCAAGAGTGCACGTATCCTCCGCAAAAACGCTTTGCTTCCAGAAAGTCTGCCCTGCCAACTCACCGCTTCAGCATCCCGCGGGAGTAGTCCAAAAAGCGAGAGTAGCCTTCGCTTCGTCACCGCAGGCTGCAATCCTACCCGCGCCTTTCCTTGGAAGTACTCTAAAGCCCCCTTTAGATTGACACGGAGTGACCTTCCAGAAAAGGGATGGTCTTAGGGCCCTAATCCATTAAACTTTACAAGTCTTCAGTTCTGTTTTGGGGTTGTTTTTGTGAACATTTGCGGCTTGCCATTTATTCACCCATGGGAATAGGTGGGGGATCAATACATAAAAGATTATTGTTTCCCTTAATACAAAGACAATAATTTTAAGGATGATGCCATCCATTACAAACGGATGTTCTTCTATTATTATCACTCACAGCAACTATGTTACTGTATCCTGGAACTTTGCCCTTCTTCAGAGCCTTGGGCAAAATGTAAATCACCAACATGGGGTTCAAGCAAAATAGGGGACTAGTGAACAAAACCCCAATCACTTTGCACAGTATCTAGGAACATTTTCATCTTTACTCTCACTCTTTTGTTTGCAGCTTAACCTTTCTCCTGAAGAAGAATCTGGATGTGTTTTCACTGGGTTATGAGGCATTTCAGTTAGTCCTACAATCTTTCAATTGCTGAAATTAAGATATTGACCTAATATGGATTCTAGAATGGCCAACATGACTACCTTGGCTTTTAGTATAATCCTACTTTCTCTTTCGTTCCTTTTTCTTCAGATATCAATGCACCCTTCTGCACAATTCTTTTGCAACTTTGGGGAGAAATAAAGTAGTTGTAATTAAATATTCCAGGGCTAGGGTAAAGCAATTCCATTTTTTAAAAATGCACAATATCTTAGAGGAAAGGTAGGAATTGTTTAAAAAGGAGAATGGAAGCAAGGCTATTCTTCATCAGTTAAATGAAGGGATTCTCATATAAGTGCAAAAATGATTCTGTGCTGTTAAAACACTGGAAATTTCTCAACCTAGCTGCAGAAAGCTCTGACATTTCATTTGTGTTGAAGCCAAGTAAAGCATATTCATTTTCCTGATGCATTTCATGAACTAATGAAATTTTCTACCAGTTGAAGTAATCTGGACATAGTAAAATTGCAGAGCACAGGTCATGGTGGTTCCTCCAGAATTAAGAAGGGGTTACTTTGCCCACTTATAAATTCAATAAAATCAATATCGCTTAATCATTTCTTTTGGATGACTGGCTTATGGAGGTTGAAAGTTTTTATGATCTTGGAATGATTCACTATCTTATAAGGTAAACTTCTCTGATAAACTTCAGTAGTACTAAGTTCTTTACCAGGACTACATAAATACAATACATTCAAGTACCATTGAAGTATATTCTGTACTACATTCCTTAAGTCAGATTTCTAAAGCTTTGTATAGCTTTAGATGGTACTATAGGTAATATAAGGGAGAATTAAATTAAGCCTTTGAGAAACCAATGGATGAGTAGAAATCTCTGAAGATCAATCCTTTGTTTTATGATTATGATTTCAAGTATTTTTTTCCTGCAACATTTTTTAAAAATTTTTCCTCCTATACTGTCTTTTTGTGTCATGAAGCATGGGGTGTCCACAGGATAGAATCATAGAAGTCAAGCTACCAGTTGCAATTGTGCAGCCAGTGCTGTCATCATTCCTAATATGATGACACTCCTACTATCAAGGGGCTTTGTTAAATCATTACGCAGTAATGTAGACCTTTGGTGGGTGTCTTGTGTTCAGATTCAGTGCACTGATCCACAATTCAGATGGAATGGGTGATGTCTCAGTTGTTCTGTATTATTAAAAAGAGTGTGGTTGATGAAGTGGTTAGAAAGCAGGAGAGCTAGTCCTGCCTTAGGCATTAAACCACAGGTGACTCTGAGTTAGTCTCTTTCTTTTAGCCCAAGGATAGAAGTAATCCAAAAATATTGCCATAAAAACTATTTGGGACTTGTCCATGTAAGACCATGAATCAAGACTGAATTGAATGTACCAAAGAAAAAAGTGACTATATGCTAAGTATGCTTAAATATAAATATTGATATGTTTTAAACATTGTTCATTTTGTTTTTCCTTTATATATTTATTTGTATTTTTATTCTTTCCCTTATTTTCCATTTTGAAAAATTAAAATGGATACAGACAGATATGTGACCTTCCAGAACTGAGGTGACAGAGATGAAACAAGTACAGAATAATTTATATTATTTAAATTGAAAAAGTTTTTTGTCCTCTTGACAGTGTACTTCAGAAAACAAAATCAGAGTAGAGCAATAAATTAAGAAGACATTTACATATTTTATTCATTATGGGGTGGACTTGCCATTCTATTATTTCCACAGTTAGACCACTTCCTGCTGGCAAAGATATAACACATGAAAAGAGACCCTAAAATTATTTCAATAATTGATTGGCATTTTCAGAAGTTTTTACTGAAGATTTGTATTTTAAGTTTATTTGCACATAAGGAGCAGTTAAACAGTGATTAAAACAATGGAAAAATCTAGGAGCATATGAAACCATAGGATCGCATAGCATCATCACTACAGTTCTGGTCTAAGAATAATGGCTATGCACTCTTATTTGCACAAGTGCTGCGATCTACATCAATCAAAAAGATCCCACTCAGTGAATCCCAATAAGATGTGGTACATTGCCTTTTGAAAAGTATTGTGTTTTACATGAACTAGATTTGATCTGAAATGACTGTTTACACATGAAAGTAGTAATATATGCCTCACACATGGAATATTGTAAGAACTGATCAATGCATACATGCTTATAAACATGCCTTAACCACATTTCTTCAGCCATGGAAAATTTAATAGAGCATGCCTAGATATTTGCAATCAGAATGAAGCTCCATTGTTTTTAGTGGGGCTTATTTTTGTACCAGTTTTCATTTTTAACTATGCTCTTAAATCTCTTCTGTTTTGATTCATAGATCTAAAATCTCCTAAATGTTGTTGACTCATACCTATTATTTTCTCCCATCAACCTGACAATAGACCTTAAAACAGATGACTATGGTTTGATTAGAGAATGGATACTGTAAGAAAACAGAGAAATTCCTTTTGAAGTAAATTGTTCAGAAATTACAAAAAAGGAAGGAAATATCTTTTTCCTTTTCTAGAGCACAAACTATCCATTTGCCGTGAAGATGCCTTCAGAGAGATAATATATTAATACAGCAAAATAGAGACCTGATCCATGAGTCTACTTTAAATGGCATTAATGTACTTCTCAATAAATAAGCCACATTTGTCTTATTTTAGTTGTGTATTAGCCTTTTTTGACATAGGCCAGGTCAGAAAACGGACTCCACAAGGACTACTGAAACTCTACTTTATTGTTGCAGGATATAATAACAGAATTTTAAAAGCCTGATTAGAG